ATTTTAAGTGCTACTACTACTACTACTACTACTACTAATAATAATAATAATAAACCTTTACTGTATTAGCAATAACTCTTCCAATATTTGAAGAAAGCTGTGCATTGCCAAAATAATAATAATAATAATAATAAACCTTTACTGTATTAGCAATAACTCTTCCAATATTTGAAGAAAGCTGTGCATTGCCAAAGTAAAACCAAGTCACATTTAGATGAGTTATTTGATTTAATGAAACAAGTTATGTGTTATCAGTTGAAATTTTATTTTTTATGGATAGACAAAGCAAATATCTTGATAGAGAATTTGAAACTAAAATGAATAAAAAAAAACTACCCTTGACTAGAGCACTTAATATTGATCTTCATATATTAATTGATAAGCTTAACACATTACTGTCATCCCTGGGTCCAGTTTTTTTATCAGAAGGGTCTATTGAAAAGCTAATCAAGTGTGGCTTGTTAACTGTTTTCCTAATTTTGTGTGATCATGAAAGTGATATACTTGTAGAATATGCAGAAACTGAAAACTACTGAGATGCACTCTAGCATATATATTTCTGTGTCTTAAAATGTACAAATATACTTTTTTCAAAATAATAGTATATTATAGATGTAAGTTTCCTATTTGGCTATTTCCTATTTCCCTTGCTTCAATTTTTTTTGATTACAGAATAATTCACTGATTATAATTTTGCTAATAACCTGGACTGTTTTACTACTTTAAATAATCTGGGGAAAACTTTGTTTTTGTGTGACTTTATTTTATAAATTATAATTGATTTTATACGTCAGTTTATTTTTAGGAACCATTTTCACATTCTTAGAAGAATTTGATATTTACTAATTTACTGTTAAGTAATTTGGGGAATTGTATTTCCATTTAAATTCCCAAAATAATTACATAAAGGACACTCCTTACACTATATCCTTACAACACAGGATACTGCCACAGCTTTTCCAAAAGCTTTTCCATTTTGAGACTTGCTATTACAGAAAAACAAAAAGAGAGGGGCATTCCTTTGCTTCTCTATTTTCTGAAACTTTTGTAGCTTTTTATTGTACTTGTATAAATAATCTCTTTAATGTTTGTCAATTATTGTGAGCTGTAATTAGAAAGTTGGCCTTCTCTTCCCATTTGTAAAATATAACTGCTATTATGTCTTCACTCTTACGATGTTTTAAAAAAAAAACTCCTCCCCCCTCCCAGAGTATTTTCTTATCCAACTGTCTTTAATCTGCTTTCAAAATCTTAACACTGCTTTAACATACTTACTTTTCCCCCAGTATCCCAAGAGATTCCATTTCACCTGCTCTTGTGTTTGTCCTATTATTTCTGCTCAAAAGACCTTTGCCCTGCTTCATTTCCTCACTGCCTCCTACTTCCAATTTAATCTATCCAGGCTGAGCACAAGGGGTACCTTTTCTAGAAAAGTTTCTCAAGCCTCCCACCATGACAAGTAGATCAATCATCTCACATCACTGACACCACCTACCAAATATTTCCATATTAATTTAGTTAACTTTTCTTGGAGTTGGCCTTGTCTCTGCAATAAATACATTAAATTACTTAAAGGAAATGAATTCCTTGTCAACTTTAAAACCAAAATGCTTCTCAAAAGCAATTTTAGTAAATAGCTCCTGAGGCCACAACTGCTTTCCCCTCATTTTCTTACGGCCAGAATGCTTCCTATCTTTTTGCTTTACATAGCACACAGAACAACAAACCGTCCACACTTTTTGTGTACTCATGAAGTCACAAAACAATCGCAAATGCTGGTTTGATCAGATGAACTGCCACTGCTAATATACTGAGGAAATTCCCCTATGGCATCTGTAACATGCTATTACATCTCCTTCCTTTCACAAACACCAGGTTATTTTAATGGGATTCTCAATGAATTTTGCATTATATTTCCTTTAAAAAAAAAAAGTATAAAGATTAAAGCACAGCGCTTTTTCCCTTGAGGAAGAAAAAGTCCAATAAAAATGAAAGAAATCTCCATGTGTTCTATGCCAGTATCTATACAGCAATAATTTTATACAAAGTACATCCTACTTTCCCTGCCAACATGACTACCAATAGAAATTTTAAAAAACAAACAAAAAAACTGCTACAACCTCAACAGGTTCCTATGCTTGTAACTTACCACAGAAAGCATGTGTTAAGTATATCTGAATTCTTACCAACTTTTCTAAAATTCAAACCTCTTTCCCCCATGGTATCTTTTCACAGCATTTAGTGAAAAAAAAAAAAAAGTCATCAGAATAATAACACTCCCTACAGTTGACCAGCTCAAACATAAATCTATGCCCTCTAGAACAGTCCTGGTGCTAAGTGGCCTGCAGCCCAACAGTCTGCAAATTAATCAGATCACAAATAGAAACCAAGAGTAAGTATTTTAGAGGACTTTCATCTTTCTAGTAATTCTCCGAAGTCTTAACTGAGATTAAAAACATAGAACTAGCCATCTATTACCACTTGAAAAGTACTCCTCTACAATACAGTTACCAATCTGTTCCCAGTAATAATAAACAAGAGTTCATATTTTTTATAGTTCATATGAGTAAACAAGAAGAGCTGCTGAAGGGACAAAAGAGGCCAAGATGTCCCTAACCACCCCAGGGTCAGGAGGGATCATGATCTTGGCATGTCAGACTTAGGTGAGGAATTTCCATGCCATCCACAAACCAAACCTACCACAGCTATCCCATCTCTTCAGCATATCTTATGAGGGATTCTAGTTTCAACTGCTTGGTTACTTTGCTTCAATTTTCTAAAGATCAATCATATTTTTCTTCTCTTTTAGAAGGCTCCACATGGCCCTCTTATAATCCTAGCTGCTCAGGAGGCTGAGGCAGGAGGATTTTGAGTTCAAAGACAGCCTCAGCAACTTAGCAAGGCACTAAGCAACTCAGTAAGCAACTCTGTCTCAAAATCTGAAGAAATAAAAAGGGGCAGAAAGTGTCTCAGTGATTGAGTTGTCGTGAGTTCAATCCCTGATACAAAAAAACAAAATAAAACTCAAACTCCCTCTTACTTCCTCATGTATACAGAGATTCTCCCCTTAAATGGAATCAGTAAAGAAGCATTATCACATATTATTTGTAAGAATGATAAATTCTATGATTTATCATACATCTCATATTCATATCTTTTTCTTCTACCTAAGCAGATTTCAAAGTATTTCACTGGGAAAGTAGGATTAAGGCTTTCTAATACAGATTTCATTATGGCCTTCAAAATAAGCAAGACAGTGCTAACTGTCAAGATGCTAAGTCACCTAGCTTATTTCCAGTATCATCTTTATCTGGGGCACTCTATTTTTTTTTAAAGTTATGCTTTTGAACCAACTGTCCCATATTAACTTTTCAGACCCTTGTGAACTATAGGATAATAAAGTTCTCCTTCACCCTAAGTAGGCTCCATTATCAATTAGACTCTTCTTGAGATCTTTTATTGTGAACTCATCAACACAAAGATTATTTTTTTTAATAAAAATAAGCCAGGAACAGTGGCACATTCCTACAATCTCAGCTACTCAGGAGAAATGCAAGTTTAAGGCCAGCCTGAGCAACTTAGTAGGACCCTATCCCATAACTTTAAAAAAGTATGGGGTGTAACTCAGTGTCTGAGTGCCCCTGGGCTCATGCTGCACACACAAAAAAGGGGAACTGAAGCTTACAGACTAGCCATGCCTCCCTACCTCCAGTCAACAATATGACTCAGCAACAAATATCATTGTTTGGGCCCTATTATTCTCAACACATTTCTAACTTAACAATCTTTTCTATATTTCTCCCCAAAGCCAAGAGTTCCTCCTGGATCCTATCTTTACTCCTGGGCATTAAATCACCACCACTAATCACCTCCCTCTACCACCTTAGGTAAATGTCCTTCAATCTCTTCTTATATTCTTACTTTGAAGTAGTCTTCCTGTATATACCATCTTCATGGTGGATAAAAGTCTTTCCTCAAAGTACCTATTTCCCTTTGTGTGTTTTGGAATACTCATATCCATAGTCCTTAAATTCTAGCTTTCTTCTTCCTCAGACTGGGGCTACTTCAAAATCTTTATTTAACTTCAAAAATGTTGGTAAACATTAAAAAAAAAAAAAACTTGGAAGGAAAATAGAAGTGATATAGTTTCTTCCTTTTAAAACATTTACTCAATGGGATGCTGACTCATAATGATTATGGGGGGCAGAGGCATGGGAGGAATGGAGGAATTTTAGATAGGGCAAAGGGGAGGAAGGAAAAATGAGGGGGCTAGGGGGCAGGAATGATGGTGATATGAGTTAGACATTATTACCCTAAGTACATGTATGAAGACACGAATGGTGTGAAAATAAGTACACTCAGTAACTTGAAAAATTGTGCTCTATAAGTGTAATACGGAATGAATTGTATTCTGCCATCATGTATAACAAAATAGAATAAATAATATATTTAAAAAATTTGCTTAATGTTTTTTACATTGGTTTCTTTACTGCAATTTAAAATTGCTCTTTACTACCTTTATAGGTCTCATTATCATAATTACTTAAGTCTCTGTGGTTAAATTATAAACTAGGAATAGGAAAAAAGAAAAAAAAAGAATTTTAATTATCTTCATATACTTGCTCAAATATATACTCTATTCTGCCTCGTAGCCCAAAACAAAATGCTAAACATCAGTTGGTTTAAACAACTCCAAGATTTTGGTGTTAGTGTTTTTAGGCATAGAAGAAATGTGAATGGGCTTAGGATGGAAAAAAACTGGGGAGGGGTGAAAATAGAACTTCTCCATGAAACCTGTTTTAAACCCCTGAAAATTTTGGAATCTTCTCCAGACTAAGAATCTAGTCAACTATTCACACTCCTGCTTTAAAGCATTAGAGTAGCTCTGAGCGTCCCCAGCAAATAAGTCAAATTATAAAACATAAAATCATTCCATAAAGTTTGTTAAAAAGAAAAGGCAAATGCAAAATACTTCTCACAAATGCTTTATTTAAACTTACCAGTTTGGCTTGTGCTTCTGCAATTTTTCGGTTATTCTCTTCTAGTATTCGCTCTAGCTCCTCACGTTTTGCACGTTCTTCCTCCTAAAGGGGAGGACATGTTAAGATATTAGAAAAATAAAATGTTTATTTTTATTGATAAATAGTTACTAATCTTCCTCTGAACTTTTTTGATCTGACTTACTGGGTAGCTTTATAGCTACCTTCTTTCTGACAAATGATAAACTGTGCAGCCACTAAAATTGGTTTCTAGCACTAAATTTAAATCATCCCTCCCAGTCCAAACAGCAACCGACTAAACCCTCCCTAATGATAGTTTCCTGGCAATTATTACTAATATTTTAATATCACACAAATCAACAAGGACAACTACAAACTGGATAGTATTTACCAAATTAAAAAATAATATATAAAATATAAATAAAGTGAATATTTGTCTCACCAATTATGTATACCTACGTATTCTTTACCTATACTCCTTTAATCAGCATTAAAAGTTGAATATTTACTGTCTTGTCCAGTGTCCTGCAGAGTGTGCTCCTCGGCTGCCATACGCGCCAGCTTCCTCTTTAAAATGATTTGTACTGTTAGCTTGGCAATACCTGCATCAGCAGCTCAACCATTTATAAAGAAACAACATACAAGGAAGGCTGAGCTGAGGAATGCAGATGTTTATGGTAAGAAGGAACAAAAAAATGTAATTCATCATTCCTAAGGCAAACAATTAATAAGAAAAATACATTTACTGTTAGTGAAAAATACAAATGGTAATCCATACTTCATGGAACTAAGGGCTTCTTCCATGGGGAAAATGGACTTAACATTCAGATGTTGACAATTTCTAAAGGCAGCTTATATTGTCATCTACAGTCTGAACTGGAATTCAGGAATCCAGGGGATGCATGGTTAGGAAATAAAATTCTGCAATTTATTTTTGCTTGGAGAATTTAATGAAATTTTATAATGCAAACTATATGAAGACTGCTTGATGATTTGGGCAGTGTTCAGATCACAGCATACATATTCAAATGATTTTAATATTTGAAAAGACTGTCAGAGGGTTGTGTCCGTGTAAAAAAAAAATTGTTAATATGAAACAAAAAGCAAATGAAGAGAAAAAAATCTTTACTATGATTAATAACTCGCTACAAGATAGCACAATTACTCCAAAAATATCATTATTAAAAGCACTGGTATCATTGCAAATTTCGTACGTTCAATTTTATAGTCTGTGAAATCCAGTATAAATATAGACATGTATATCTAAAGACAGGACAAGAGAAAAACGCATGTTATAAGCTAAGCTTACTGGAAAGCAAAGAGATTTGATACCTCATCAACTTGTCCACAACCATGCCCACATGAAAAATAACAATGAGCCATATTTTAAGTCAAATATTTCAGTTCAAGAAAATATGACTACAGGATTTCCTACATCACACCAATGGGATTCATGTTTGTTAACACAAACTATTTTGATGGGTGACACTCAGTGCTGTGAAGTAATTAACCCTGAGTGTCCCAGTGTCTTTCACCAAGTTTAGGATCCTGGAGTAATCAGTGCAAACAAGCCATAAAGCTTCAGTAGCAAATTACTGTCTCACAGAAAGACATTTTCAACTTCTGCTCCAGCTGCTGATAAAACAAATCATGTGTTTAGCTTGACTCCAGACAAGGACAACCTGTTCCTTCATAACTCTCTAGAGAAAAAAAGGAGTTGTTAGTAGATACTAAAAAAGTGGATGAATATTCTGGACATTTTTCCTAAAAAGATTCCTTGAAACACATTAGGAAAATGGAGGGCCTTATGATCAGAATGCTAGAATTAGTCCATTGTGCTGAAGCAGGATTTGGGGGAGGGGGAGGAATAAAAGAAGGGAAAAAGAAGAGTGAGAAAACCTATTTATCAAAAGCAGGTGCTGTCACTCAATGTTAGGCCCTGCTCTTTTTAATCTGACTGAAGGCAAAAAGCCTCTCACAGTCTAGGTAGTAGAGTGATAAACAGAAAAGAATATACAACCACAGGTGGCTTTTTAACCTTTTCCCTTTACCACTTCCTGTCTCCCCCAACCCGCCCAAAAGAATGTAAGTCCTGCAGCCATGGCAAAAGTTTCAAACACTTCTCAAATATATAAGCCAGTTCCATTAAATCAAAAAGTATCCTTGAATAAGTTTTATGAAAGTAACTTTTAAGTATCAGTCAGCACTTCTGAATATGCTAAAAAATTAACTTTCTCGCAGCAATGTAAGTTTAGATGAGAAAGGAATTAGATAGTCTGTATTCCATCTCTTTCTGAACTGAGCAGGAGGCACAACCGGACACTGAAAGTTTTGCCATGGACTGTCTCTACTTTCCAAACGACCGAGCGTTACCTCTCTAGCTTTTTGTGCTGCAAGCTCAGCTTGTCTCTGTCGCTCGAGTTCTTCGAGCAACTGCTTTTCCATGATGCGCTTGGCTTCCTCCACCCTTCGGAGTACTTCTCGCTCAATTTCATCCTTCCTTTTCTCTAATTCTTCTTCTACCCTTTTTGCCACCAATTCTTCCACTCTTCGTGCTGTTTCTTCCTCGATGAGTTTTTCTTCTATTTCCTGTTGTCGACTATGAAATAAAGTGGAAAAAAATTATTTTGATATTTTAAAAACACTAATTTTAAGCCTCAATCACATCAGCTTGATTTTACATATTTAATGACTTTACAATTCATTTCATGTCACATATGGGGAAATGTTAAATATATTAAGGTGTTAAGACATATATTTCTGTTATTAAGTTTATAATAAGAGGATTAGCTGTTAAAAATATATGTATTTGCTCATTTGCCAACCAACTCAACAGAACAGCTGAGCTACAGAAAAGCAAGAGAATCTATTACGCAGGGAATTCAGAGTGGCTCAATTCATTTGCCCCTTCTCCTTAAGCAAAGACAGAACAAACAGATTTAAAGAGATTTGACTGAAGTTAACAGAACTGTGAACCTTCCACTCAAAGTATAGATCACTGAATTTCTCAACTTTTTTCTACTGTGCCTTTTCTTCCAAAAATTTCACTGATCTTCAAGGAAAAGCTCCTCCAGTAATAGGAAAAGTAGAAAGATGAAAATATAAAGTTCAATGAAGCATGGTATCTTTGTTTTAGTTAGATTCCATTCTATTATAAACCAGCTTGTTTATTCAAAATAAAATCTGTGCTGAAAATACTAACATTTATCAAGGTATTATCATGGAAGTCTTACAAAATTTATACCAATGCTTGCCTCTAGTCACATGCATCTAGTCTAAATTGAATATTAGTATTAAGAAAAACATAAAAGATCTAATAAAAATTTAACAGACTAAAAATATATTAAAATTAATTCTGGTTTCTTTTTAACATGGCTACTAGAACACTATAAATTGCCTATTTTGCTCATATATTACTAGTGAGTAGCATACTGAGGCAATATTTGTGCTTAACTAATGAATTCAGAGGCTCTTGGAGTACTCTAAGTATCTACATCCTAAGAGAACAATTTATTAATGCTTCAACTTTTTCACAATCCAAATTAAATAAAACCTGCAACTTTTATATCTTTTGGTGACTCATTTGACATACCTATGTATGAAACAGTCATTCAATTCATAAATTTAGTAAAGACTCTACTTTCAATGTGACCTTTAAATACCTCAATCCACTCCAACTTAATTCTATTCTTGGGAGTGATTCAATTCCCACCCAACAGGTTTTCATTCTCAACTTCTGTCACTTATTTAGTGATACCACACTAATACTAAAACTGTCTTCAACATTTTGCTTCACTTCAGTTTCGTCATTTCTCTTCTCCATCAAAAAAATAGGAGGTACTAGAGAAAGTTTCTTTTCCTTTAAGGTCCTAGATATTTGCAGAACCCATACTGAGGACTCCATTTCATAAACATCTCCTAAATTTTAAAAAAAGAATATGAAAGCCTAGGAATAACTATGCTTCTCTCCTTTTCCTTAACTTCCCATCAAATACAGGATTGTGGTAATCACAATAAGCCTTTTTATATGCAGCAGTTCAATAAGAGCATGTACTTTCTGTGACACCACCTAATAGGAACTGCCAAGACCATTGAAAGAATTAGTAATTTCAATTCAATGGAAATTAAATGACAATTTTAATATAAAACGTCTCTATTTCATCCAAAGGGAAGGAAAGAAATAACAAAAAATAAAACAAGTAAGGCTGATAACTGCTGAATCTGGGTATGGGTTTATAAGGATAACAATATTCTACTTTTATATATGCCAACTTTTCATTAGTTTTATAAATGCACACACACATTGCTAATTGATTAATATATAATTATTAAATGTAGAGGCCTAAAAAGAAACTTGATATTTAAAATTTCAATACAATGCAATTCTTAATTATCAATGTTAAGTAGAACTCAGTACTGACTATTCAAAAGGATATCGTAAGAGTTTCAATTAAACTTTCTATACAAAGTGGAAAGGAAGGAAAACAGAATAAGGCTTTAAATTAGCTCAAGAGTAGAAAAGTTCCCAACTTAGGAATATAGATAAAATTGGAAAAGACCTTATACTTACATATTCAGGGTTTTTCTCAGGAAGTTATGCCATCCCTAAGCACTAACACAATGGCTAACTGGGCCACATTTCCATACACTTGATCATTAAGGACAAAATGAGCCAAAAATATTCAGGTTATTATTCACAGCAAAAATTAAATCAGCATGGTGTCAGCTCCCTGTGTCTCTACTCCCACTTGACCACACCAAACCAGGGGCCAGAGGACAGAAGGTGAGTTTCTCTATTGCTAAGTCAAGTCTAAGTACAGCTCAATGGTTTTATAGCCCAAAGGGGAGGGCAAATGGAAAGTCCCAAGCTCAACTGAAACAGTGGAGGGTGTGAAACATCCTCCTGCAGTCTCACAAAGCTGCTTTATCTCCCTTTGCTCCTGGAGGAACTACAGAGCATTCCACCATGAGTGCAGTAAGCCTTACTGATAGGTCTCTAAGTGAAGACCAGCAAGGTCTGGGCACAACAGCAGAACTGTTCCTCTAGGAGTATTACAAGAATACAACTTTTGTTGGTATTCTTGGTAAGATTAAATATGCTATTTTGGAATTCGGGGAAAAAATTTAAATCAATTTTTTGAACCAGTATTAAAAATTAAGGTTTAGAGTTCAATACCACTTTATCTCCTCCTGTACACATACAGGCACATATACAATTGAATTATGCATAAATTCATCTTCATTGATGGCAAATTTATCACCCTAATCAATAAGACCACTGTTAAGCTAACTCCCATAAGAGGCAATGGAACTTTCTTGAAGATCAAAACACTACTTACTGGTGTCTTTAAAAAGACACGATATCTAATAGCCAGTCCATAAAACATTTGCTATAGGAGTTGTCAACATATATTATTTTCTCTAATCTATTCCTTATACTTCTCTGATCAATCCATTTCCTTGCCAAAAATATGTGCTAATAATGAAAGGTTAAATCAAAATCTTCAAGTTTTTCAATGGAAATGGTATTATTACCTAGACCCTACTTCTTCTATGTTTTCTGATATTTTAAATACACTAGTCACAATCAACTTTAAAATGGTACAAAACAGCAAGGGCACAACATTTCACAACTGTCAAATGAGAGTATAACTTGGCACAGAGCAAATGCCACTATTATTTTAAGATGTCTTTAAAATGTATGAACTCAATCCTAGGGGCTTATTTCCAGAAACTGGTTAAAAATTATTAGCCAATAGCAGTTAATAGGTCCAAATCACTATTCTAAAAGCTCAGTACAGCATGTCACCACTTAAATCTCAGATATGTTCCTACAATGTATGTATTATTGACTGAAGTTAATAAGTTAAATTTCTGTACTCAGGCTTAATGGGTGCTGCTAAACTGTGAATATGAACCTTGGTAGACTTCAAAGCTAAGGAACTTAAGCACTTTACTATCCTATACAGTCTCTCCAGAATAAATGTGAGAGGAAAAGATATGAAGTAACTACCAAAACAACTAGCCACAAATACCAGCTAGGTCTTTAAGCTCTCTTATTGTCTCAAAGCACCAACCTCCAAGAATGCACCCTTCCACATATCAAGTTTGCTTTCACAATGAGCTCTTCAAGTACTGTCTGAAAATCACAGAAACTCTAGTTCAACAGTAGAATATTCAAGCTTTGGCACATCAGACCATTAACATTTTCCTGATTTGCTACAAGACATTTTCAACTGTCTTTTTATTTTAGCAATTAATACAACACATATATAGCATCTCTAAAAAAAAAAAAAGTTAAAAAATAATAATACCAGTCTACTGGAGGGGTAAGAGCAATTCATGAATGGATGGGAGACACAGACATGAATGATAACCTTCTGAATCTAATTTTGAATCATGTGAATTAGCTATTCAAAGTGAGGAAATAACTTAAAGGCCTACCTTTTACTGCATTAAGATTATAACTCACAAGATCACTTTTTAAACTCAGCAGGCTTTGAGAGTATAGAAGTTATGTTAAATAACACTGAGACCCATTATATGCCAAACACCATCTAGATAATTTAGATATACCTACAATTTTCATAATAGGACAGGTATCTCCACTTCACAGACCAAAAAAAAAAAAAAAAATCTCAGAGATGATTTGTTTAAAGTCTTAAAAGTTTAAGAAGCAAAGCAATCTCATCTCCTCTGGGACTACAGAATTCCTAATTGGTTAAACTCAGCAAATGGATCTTATTTTACTGTTTCCATCTAATCTGAGAATTCTTGAACACACAAGATACTCTGCATTGTTCTAGTATCTGCTCTGCTTTCAACTTGAGCTTTTCATTCAGTCCCTTGAACCAACTGCTTTTCTCTCCTTATACTCTGCCTTAGTCATTTCATAAACTCTCAGGATTTTAATGATACAAGTAAAGCCCCTTTCCTTAGGCTTCCGTCCCTCATTATTAATTTAAGCAAGTTCAGAATACCTAAAACTATGGCCCACAGTGAAGTGCCAAGTGGAAACTCCTGCTTTTCCCTCTTCCTTAATCACTGTTCAGCAAGTTTCTGGATAAATTACAATAGCCACACTATAAATAAAAACCAATAATGTTCTTTTCTTTAGGCCTGAGATCCAATTTTATATCCCATCTGTTTCTTAAATTGGTCCTTCTTTTCCTTTCTAGTAACTGTCTGTACTATTCTTTCCTCAGTTTACTGTATCCTCCTTCCTCATAACTTGTTTCCATCCTATAGAACCATTCATGATCTGTTTAGAATGGGGAGGGGCGTGCCATTTGCCTCCTCAAAACCTTTCCTGTTTCTAGAATGAAACCAAATTTCTTAATATGGCATATAAGAACCCTTCCTTAATTTCCAGCCTGTTTACATCTTCAGTCACTGTATCACTGTAGTACTTAAAGAACTCCTTGTTGTAGCCAAAAATATCTGGTCCACTCTAAGACCACTGCCTTTCAAGCTCCTTATTGTGACAGGGGTGGTGAAGGAGGCTTTCTCCTTTGGTCCACATATACTCTATACCAGCATGACAGTTTTTCCTCCTATACCCTTAATTCATTCTTTAGGACAAAGGTTTTTACCCACCAGGATGCTTCCTTTATACAGTTGTATCAATTACCTGTCCTTGAATTAGCCATCAAAATCTTAGAAGAGACCAATCACCTTCATATTAATATTGCCTAGCACAGTGCCTGGCACTTACTAAAGCCATAGTAAATACTAACTGAATGAACTAACAAACAGGGATTTGTAGACAACTACTTGCTCCTGTTTCCAAAGCTCTAATACCTGTCTTTCCAGACTTTTCTTTGCATTATTTCTAAGGCATTTGACCACATTAAGTAAAGTCTATAGAGCACACAGGAATTTAGGGTTCAAGTGGCTACTGGTCCTACCTCTTTCCCCTCGTAAACATGAATGGCAGTTTCTCTCTCTCAACCTAGAACCATATACCAATTCTATTTCCTATCATCTCATCCCTGGATCTCTTCTCTGCTGTCCACATGTACCTTTCTAAATGTTTCTAATTATTCTTTATATATCAAATTTCCTTTCATTTTTTCCTTTAAGTTTTAACTTCCTAGTGAAAGGCAAGTAGTTATTTCACATGGAAAAATTATCAGTGATATCTTAGATAATTTCTCATATATCTTGTTGATATCCTGTTGAGAGCTTTATCTTTATAGCTAAGGATCTTTTCCAGATCCAAAAGCTGGATTCTACATGTTTTCATATGCATATCAACAGCTCCAAGTATAGCAGAAGTGGAACAACTGCATAAGCTTTAAAGAAATGTAGACAGCAAATTAGCAAACTTTCTCTCTAGTATTATTTATTATATATTTCCATACCTCCTAATAACTTTGCTTTTAGAAACAAGGTGTGCTGGAAAGTCTACATTATACAAACCTGACTGCAGAAAACTGTAAAACCCCTAGACAATAATGTACACATAAAATCCTTGCAGGAGGATTTTCCCTACATAAAAATTCTGTATGTGAGCAAGGCAAAAATAAAGACAAATATTCAGACGTATTCTAAACAAGTATACTACAAGGGGGAAAAAGAGAACTACACATACTCATTGGAGTATATGAAGGAATAGACTTTGTATAGAATGATGGTTACATAGGTGAAATCAAATATCAAAGTCGACATAGACTAAGGTATGCATTTTGATTTTTATTTGTTAAAAAAAAAAAAGGGATAAAAGACCAGAGGGGGATATAAAGCAAAGGCCACACCTTTAAACACACTAAGCCAAAAATGTGGGGTTTTTCTTTGTTTTTTGATGAACCACTTAAAGTGTCTTAAATTCTGTCCTCAATCTAAGCTTCAATAAAAAGATGCTTCTGGCAAGCTGCAATTTATATCCCACGGGTTAATTCCTTTCCAAACCCTTCGCAAGCGAACCTGCAAAAGCTTACCATCCGCACCTTTAGGCTAACCGAATCCCCGCCCTTACCCGCCAGCGCAGCGCCCAGACCTCTTTCTGAACTCCACCCCTACTTCCGGGACTCTCCACTCCGCGCGCCAAAATCGCTTTCTCCCCTCTAGCACCACGATTTTACATCCCAGCCACCTCGTGGATCTTTCCACTTAAGGATTTCAAACCACGTGTGCCCCCAGGCGGGTGCTTGCACCCTTCCTGCATTTCTCCCAGCCCCGCGCCCCCACTCTTCGTGCCTACCCACCCCGCAGCGCCCCCACTCTCCCGCGCCCACGAAGCCCGCAGCCCCCAGTCTCCCGGTTTACCCACTCGACAGCGCCCCCACTCTCTGCGCCTACCCAACCCCAGCGCCCCCACTCTCCCCATCTACCAACCCGCAGCCCCCTCTCTCCCCGTCTGCGTGTCCCGCAGCCCGCTCTCTCCCGGTCTTCACACCTCGCAGCGCCCACCGCTCTCCCGGTCTACCCACCCCGCAGCCCCCACTCTCCCCGTCTGCCCACCCCGCAGCGGCCCCCACCTTCCCGGTCCGCCCACCCCGCAGCCCCCTCCCTGCCGTCTGCCCAGCGCAAGACCCCACTCCGGGCCGGCACCCCCACTCCCTGCCGGCACCCCCGCTCCCGGCCCGCATCCCCACTGTCCGGCCCTTCCCCCCGCGGCACTCACATTTTTCGCTGCCTCTCGAACTCGGCTTTCTTCTCCTCCTCCTCCCGCTTCTGCTTCTCGTCCAGGCTGCTGCGCTTGCTCACCGTGCGCCCGAAGATGTCGATGCGGTCGGGCGGGGACGAGGCGCGCTCCCGGTCCCGCTCGCGCCGGGACACGGCCGTATTGGTGGAGCGCGAGCGGGACCGCGACTCCCGCCGCCGGTTCCGTTTACTTTCCCGGGACTTGGAACGCTTGCGCACGCGCTCCTTGTCCCGCGACCGCGACCGCGACCGGCTGCGCTTCTTGTTGTGCTTGCTGCTCTTGGTGTGCTTGGAGCGGGACGAGCTCCGGCTCCGGGACCGGCCCATCCTTCCGGGCGCCGCTCTGACTAACCGCTGGCCTCGGGCCCCGCACGCGCCTGGCTCCCCTCGCCTCCGCTTCGGACGCGGGCAGACCGTCCTGTGGAGGCCGGAGGAACGACGGCTGTCCACTCGCCGACTTTCTTCCTCTCCTCGAGGTCTACAGTCGCCACGAAGGCCGCCTCCAACGAGAAGGCCGCAACGCAAGGAGTCTCTAAGATGGCAGCTGCGGCTGCACCGGCCGCCTTTCCCACAATGCCCTGCGCGAAACGTGCCGAAGCGTGAGCCCCGCCGCCTGACGATTGTGGCCGAGGACTGGCGGGCGTTTCCGAGCGCACTCGGCCCTTTTCGCCACTCCTGGCGGAAGCCTACGAACTCAAGGCCGGAGCCTGCCGCCTTTGCGTCAGTGTACTTTTTCTAGTAAAATGCCACGCAAGGTAGAATGGATCAACGTTTTAATACGATCTAAGCCACGCTTTGGCAGGAGTTGATTGATTGGATTATTTTCTAGGAGCAGATCACCTTTGGCAGATCACTCCATTGTATAGAGTGACCTTTGGCAGATCACTCCACTCTTGCTGCTTGTTTCCTTGTTTGCAAAATGCACTTTGACACACTTTCTGACCTGGTTCTGAAGCTTACAGGAGATAAATTATGCAGTAGGGTTTTGATTAGTGTATGCTAATACTTGACATAAGACTTAATGTGCATTCCAAATGCTTTTTAAACTATTGCTTAATACTTAATACTTTAGTTTCTGAATTAAGTACCACTGTTATTCCTATTTTGTAGATGGGGACCCTGAGGTCCATAGAGGTTAAAAAGTTGCCCAAGGTCACACACTTATTAGATGGCAGAGCAGTGACATGTTCCTAGGTAGGTGGTGCAAAGACTGCACATAACTAAGACCAACTGAGCCCTGGCCAAGAAAAGCCATGTTATTCTGCGGTACAACACTGTCACTGTCAAGCCACCCCACCAAAAAAGACAATGTCATCATTTGTACGTCATTATTTGCAGATGATAGGAAATGTTGGAAATCTAGATGCCTCAACGTTAAATAAGTTCAGTAAAAGACTTCACTCCAGGTAAGCGGAGGAAAAATCAAAACTTTACTTTGAGCAACCAGTAGCCTATTAAAAATGAAATATTGGGCTGGGGATGTGGCTCAAGTGGTAGCGCGGTCGCCTAGCATGCGTGCGGCCCCGGGTTCGATCCTCAGCACCACATACAAACAAAGATGTTGTGTCTGCCGAAAACTAAAAAATAAATATTAAAAAAAATGAAATATTAAGGTTTTCTACAGAATGGCAACAAAATCCATAAAATACTTAGGAATAAACTTTACCAAGTTACAAAGTCTTTGTGATGAACATTGGCTGAAAGACAGAATAAATGGAAAACACACGCTGTTTTCTCAATTGTGGAGTTCAGTATCAAAAACATGCCAATTCCTTTTAAGTCAAATTAGAAAATTAATGCAGTTTTCATGAAAGCCCCAAATTCTCTTGGGAATGCACATGTTATAATAAACTAAATAATTTTAAGTTTTATATGAAGGATTACATAACTGAGAATTTTTAAGAAAACATGAAAAAGAAGAGTAATGTCTTAATCCATCTGCACTGTGTTACCGTTTAGAACTTAAATGTCCCCCAAAAGCCCATGTGTGGAAGGCTTAGTCCCCAGGTCCCCAATGTTCAGAGGTGGGGGCTGGGGACATGATTTAGTCACGAGGGAGCTGAGCTCATCACTGAATCAACCCATTTATGAATTCATACCGTAATGGCTACATCGGAGTGATGGCAACTGCAGGAGGACCTCACGGAGGAGACAGATCACTGGGGCTCTGCAGGGGCTGTTTTGTCCCTGACCCCTTCTCCTCATTCTCTCCTCTGTTTGCTCTCCAAACACAATGAGGTGAGCAGCTTTGCTCTACTTTTGCTTCCCTTCATTATGTTCTACCTCACCATAGGCCCAGAAACAATTGAGAGAAGTGCAGGTGGACCAAAACTTTTGAAACTGTGAGCTCCTTTTAAGTTACTTATGCCAGATACTTTTGTCACAGTAACGCAAAGCTAACAAACTGCTATAGCAAAGCAGTAAAAAACCAAGTAGCAAAAAAAAAAACAAGTAGCTTATAAGTAACCGAAAATTATTTCTCACAACCCCAGGGGCTAGGAAATCCAAGTCAGCAGCAGCTCCTTGTGTGTTAAGGGCTCTCTTGCTGCTTCCAAGGTGGTGGCTTATTGACGTAACCTCAGGGGAAAGTGACTACCTCGCTCCTTTCAATGCATCTCATAAAAAGTGCCAGTTCCATTGGTGAACTCAGAGCACTTACAACTCAACCATTTCTCAAAAGCCTCCACTTCTAACACCATCTTTGGGTATTGAGTTTCCACAGGTGAATTGTGAAGGGCATGTATATTCAAACCATAGCGGTATCCTAATAAAAGAGCCCAAGGAGCCTGTTCACCCATTCTACCATAAAAACCAAACAAGAATGGGCTGGGGTTGTGGTTCAGTGGTTGAGCGCTTGCCTAGCACCTGTGAGGCACTGGGTTCGATACAAATCAATAAATAAAATGAAGGGTTTTGTTCTTCTACAACTGAAAAAAATAAAAATTTAAAAAAAAAAATAAACAAGAAGTCACCATCAGTGAAGCAGCGATTGGGAGACTAGGCTGTGAGCCAATTAGCCATTTTATTTAGGTTGCATGTTCCCTGGGGTTGACTTTAAGAGAGAGTTTATGGAGCTTTTAAAGGAAGATGATATGTATCCCACTCAGGCTATGTCTTTGTTGCCTGGTAGGGAAAATCAGAAAAAAAAAAAATGCATCAGAGATCCCCAAACTAACTAGAGATTATCTCAGAGAATTCATTGAATGAATGAGTGGCACATATGTTTCAAATCTACCTTGTTATAGTAGAATTATCAAAATTCTAGCATTTCACACTCCCTGAACTTATTTTGTTTCATTAGTTATTTGTTTAATGAATATCTTTTGCCACCAGATCCAAATTCCAGGCATCTTGACTGTTTTGTGCTCAGTGTAACCCCATGGGTTAACATGCTAACCTCAGTAAATGTGCACTGAATATACCTGGAGCAAATACAACTTGAATGATTTTTTGATCATGAATTTTATCGTGGTTCCACACTTGAATCCCCAAGTCTTATGTGTTGAAGGGCTTGGTCCCAATACAACAAGCTTGGAGATAGAGCTCTTGCATGGTAATTGGATCATGAATGGATCTGCTCGTTGATCTGTAGCTGATGGCATTATTGGGAGGTGTGGAAACTGCAGGAGATGGGATCTAGTTGGAGGAAAGAGGTCACTGGGGTGTGCCCTAGAAGCCCTTCCTCTTTCTCTCTCTTCTTCCTGGCTGTCCTGAGGTGAGCTGCTTGCTTCCACCCTCCACCCTGATATTCTGCCTCACTTCCAAATAATAGAGCAGTAGAGCCAGTCCACCAGGTACTGGAATCATGAGCCAAAGTAAATTTTCCCTCCTTTAGGTTGCTATTATCAGGTATTTTGGTCATAGCAATAAAAAGCTGCCTAACACAAGCTTTGATTTATTTGTTTGGCTTTATTTTATTTTGTGTTTAGACTCTTTTTTTTTTTAGATTTTTACTTGGCTTCTCTCTTCCACTCTCTTCTCCCAATAAAAGTTTCCTTTATTCATCTTTGAACAGTTTCAGTAACCAACTGCAAATAACAGATCATTCTAAAGAGCGGTATTCAAATATGAAAACTCTCAAGGGAATGCCTGAATGTCTCCCTCCTATAAATCCTTAAATTATTAATCCTCAGCCCTCTTTGACCACTTTTCAGAATTAAATTATATCCTGTGACATGTCCATGAAGTGCCATTTCTTCAACTCATAAATATGAAGTGCTTTGTTTGTGGAAAATACTGTGCTAGTTGCTCGTGGGCTTCTATCTACACCTACAGAGTAGATCAAATCCCTGGGCACAGGGGTCCTGTCTTTCACAGCTCCCTTACCAGCCCATGACTCTTTTTATCACCTTACTATTTGTTCCTGAGCTACTGGAGCCCCTCTTTATACTCTTTCTTCCAACCCCACCTGACTCGTAGTCCCTTGGCAGGTGGCATCCTTGGCAGCAGCAGAATTTCATACTTGTAATTTAGGAAATGTTGATTACTTATTTTAAACCCCTCTCTCTTGCTAAAAAACAACCCCACGAGGGAGGGACAGACAGCTTCTGATCTGTTCACTGCTGTGTTCCTGTGTCAGGCCTGGCCCCTGGCTCATGGGCAGTATTCAACAAAACATTTTGAGTGAGAAAACAAATATGAAATATGTTGTCTGACTTCCCCTAGCAATCTTACAACATAGATTCTTTTTGAACAGCTTTACACAGAATATTACATAATTTCAAAAAGAGTAAACACTTTCATCACAGCTCCTGGCAATAAAATGTGGAGAATTCCAGGTTCCAGAATCTATCTTTTGATTCAATTCATAATTTTCAGCTCTGTACAAAGCATTCAGTCTTTTTCCCTATGACAAATTATCATCTAATTCTCCATCTGAAACAAATGACAGGAGGCCCAATACTATATACGGTTAATTTTAAGTGTATGCCTCTATGAAAAAAAAATCTAATGTTTGTCTAAGAAATGAAAAAGGAATCTTCTACTGGAGATGCAGAAAAAATATCTTCTGACTGGGAAAGGTACCCAGAGACTGTTGCAGCAGCAATAAGTGCAGAGATCTGTTACTTCTGTTCCAATGTCTGAAGAGCAAGGCTGCAAAACTCTTGTTGCTGAGCATCAAAAGACAAAGGATGTCCTTCCCAGAAATGTGCTCAGACTGGACGGGACGGGATGTGAGCAGGGCTGATCTCAGGCAGATGGGAGTATGAGCTGGGCAGGCTCTGACCAGGAGCCAAGACACAGGAGGCCACAATTACACTATCAAGTAAAAACAGACCAGGACTTAGCAAGAGACTTTTTTTTTCCCCCAAAGGATCATTGCAGGATTGGTTGGGGGTGGGGTGCAGAGAGAGCCTAGTGCTGCAGGGAGAAGCTCTGACAGCAAAACCTGCAGGTGCTTGGAGACTACAGCAGTCTGGCTTCATTTTTCAGAGAAGGCTGAACAAATCCAGGAAACACTGGGTGTGGGGAAGCTGGATGAAGACTGTTGGCAGGAGGGCTTGAAGTCCTACTTGCTGGGCCAGAGGGTGGGGCAGATTTGGGAAGAGAAAGGGAGAGACACTTGACCAAATTCT